CAGGCTGACAGGTGGCATGGTGGTTAAGTCACTGGACTCCCACATGGCCAACCACAGTTCAAGTCCCGGACCTAGTGGCTTGCTTTCTCACTTTCCCTTTCTCTCTCTGTGGTAAAATTAAAAAGTAATGATAACAATTAAATACATACTTTTTAAAAAAACCAATGATATCTAAGAAATAGTCTTACTCAAAAATTACAAAAATTCAATGATTTTTTTTTTAGTTTGCTCAGTAATGATGAACTCTGATAGTAAATATTCTAAGATATCATTAAGCTTCCCAGTTAGCCTCATATTAAAAATGCTTTTCAAACTGGAGCTTCCGAAATTTAAGAGGGGTTGAAGAAGTATTTATGATGAACTTACTTTAGATGTTTTCGCTGAGATTTTAGAGGGTCTTACTTGTTACTGACAGTTGTAGCCCTACCAGAGTGGAATTTGCTACATGAAATGGTTTTTCTTTTACCAAGTTGTGGGGGGGAAATGTAGTGGAAGGGACTTGACTTTTAAATTCTCTTGTAAAAGGAATGAGAAATTAGGGAGCATTTTCCTAAATTATGGTGAAGTCAAGAGAGAAGACCCTTGGACTTTGGAGTTGTTAATATAAGCTATATTTATCCCTTAGTAGTTGTGTATGCACCTTTGCCAAGTTATTCAGCATTTCTGAACCTCATTTTCTTTCCTCAGTTTAAAACTCAAGTGATCGTGTATACCTTTCTGAGTGAGTATTCAGTAAAACAAAATATATGAATCATCCAACACAGTTTCTGGCACCTGGTAGATAATCAGTAAATGTTTATTTTCTCCTTCCTGTACTCACTTTGGCTTCTTATTTACACATTATATGTAGGAGCTACAGAACCAAAACATACATAGTTATTTGAAGTTTAAAAACAAGTATGTTCAATAGAAGTGGTAAAAGGAGCAGTCTTACTTGGTTTCAGACCTGAGGATTAAAGCATCCAGTTTCTTACTATTAAGTATAATGTGAGGTTTAAGTTCAGTCTCAACTGAACTATCGTCAAGTTCTCTTCCTTCTGTTATCTGCATGTTCCTTTTGAGTTTATCCTGTTGTTTTTTATTTCAGTTATTTTATTTATCAGTTTAAATTTTCTACTTGATTTTTTTTTTTTTTTTTAGATTTTCTGTTTCTTTGCTGAGACTTTGTTTTTCTATTTTTTTTCAAGATCATTGCTTCTTTGGACATTTTTATAATAGCTGCTTTAAAGTCTTTGTTAGATCATTCCAACATCTGTATAATCTTGATACTAGTATATTCGGATTGTTTTTCCCACGTGAGTGAGTATGTTTATGATTTCTTCATATGTCAAGTAGTTTAAAATGGTGTCCTAGATGTTTTTGGATATTGTATTGCGAGACTTTGGGCCTTAACTTAATCCTTTAGAGAATGTTTATATTTTTGTTTTAGTGGTCAACCTAGTTAGTTCTCAGACTTCAAATTCCGGCTTTCCTTCTGAGGACCATAGTTCCATTATCAGTTTTCAAAGGCCGCATTGCTATGTGATCTGTCCTGTGTGTGTATCACCTAGTGGTCAGTTTAGGAGCTAGGCAATTGTCTATTTTTGCTCTCAGAGCCCTTGGTATGCTGATTAGGATCAAATCCTTACCTGAGGAGCTCCAGGGAAAGCCCAGGAATTCATAAACAAATTCATGGTGGTGTTTTCTCATGCTCCTTCCTTGCTATGTTTTCTTCAGTACTTTCTGATTTCCTGGAGTTCCCCTTTCTGATCTTCTTGCCAGGAAACTGAGATTCTGATTATTCTGCCCTCCATTCCCACAATTTCACTCCTATCTAGGATCGACTGTAGAGAGAGGAAAAAAGTAAAAGGAGAGTTGACCCCATCTTCCTGCAATCTCCATTCCACTAATCAGAGAAGTAGATTCCCTTCCCTTAGAGGTGTGGCTCTTAGAGAGTTTTGTTTTGTTTTGTTTTCTAATTTTATTTATTATTATTTTTTAATTTGCTGTAGTTACTGGAGAAACAGAGAGGCAGAAAGAGATGGAATGTGAGATATGAAAAGTGAGAAAGCATACTGACAGACAGGTCAGGGACTTGAACCATGGTTGGCCATGTGGGAATCTAGCACCTAATGACCACACCACCTGCCAGCTCCTCTTGCAGGTTTTCATTGTTGTTACTTGGCCTGGAATTTCCTGGTGGACTGGGGGCCATGACAGAACCAAGAAAAGAGAGGTAAATAAAAAGGAATGGGGGAACATGGGAGTCCTCAAACCACAGGGGATTTCTGGCTATTTAGGAGATGCCAAAGAGGTAGGGGGAAGAAAGTTCAATGACACCTTGAATTCTGATATTCTCTGATTCATCTTCTGTTTACTTTTTAGAGATCTCAAAGAGTTGCTCATATACTCTGTCCAGATTTTATGGTTTCATTCGATGGGAGGGATAGGGTTTAGTATGTCTACTTCATCTTACCTAGAACCAAAACTTTAATTAAAAAAAAAAAAAAAAACATTTATATTACTGTCACCATTCCTCCTGCTTTTCTTTTTCTCTCTCTCTCTCTTTTTTTTTTTTCCCAAATAATTTTCATGTGCTTGCAGAGAAGTGGGAGCACCCTTCCATTGTCTATGGTCAGGCTGCAATCTCTTTTCCATTTCTCTATCCTCTTGTGATTTGGGACATGCTCACATACATGCCTGGTGTGTTTCTCAAGCCACCTGGGCTGGCTCCCCTTCTGGTTTTCTAATCCAGGACTGTTCTTAAACTAAGGTTCAGTTCAACTTGGATTATATTGCTACTTAAAAAAAAAAAAAAAAACTGCTTTTATTTGCTCTCTGTTGTTTCTAAGTTAAAGAGCGGATTCCTTATTTCAGCACTCACTCAGATTCCCCAGCTGCATATATTTCATAATCTTATTCCAGCCAAACAAGTATACTTGCTGATATTGTTATTATTTTTAAATTACTTATTTAATTTTATTTATTATTATTATTATTTTAATTTGCTATAGGGCACATGCACTCACCAGAGAGAGAGAAAGTAAGAAAGCAAGCTGCCAGGTCTAGGACTCAAACTGTGGTCGGCCATGTGGGAGTCCAGTGACTTAACTCACACCACCCACTGGCCACAATATATTTGTTACTCTTTTCCACATCCATTACTTTGTTTATATAACTCTCTCAGCCTAAAATAGTTTCTTTTATTTTTCTTTTTTAGTTTTGCTCGAGTAACTGTTGAAGGAGTAAATGGACTGTTCTGGGAGTCATGCCTTATTAAGAACATTTAAATAGTAAACTACATGCAATTACAGGGGGGCATCATGATGTCTCCAGGCCCAGCAAAGTGGTTTGAGGAGTGTTCCATTCCCATTTAACAATAAGTGAGCATGTGAAGTCTTGTTTTTACCATATTCTGTCCCCCCAGGACAAAATAACAGTTCATTAGTTTTTACTGAGTATATTTGTCGTTACTTTATTTATTTATTTTTTTTGAGAGGTTTTCCCTATAGGGCGCTTGCACTCGCCAGACAGACAGACAGAGAAAGTGACAAATCACTCCCCAGGGAATGGCCACGCTGAAATCCTTTCTCCTCCATTCTCCTCTTGGGATTTTGGGCATGCATGCACACGTGCCTGGCATGATTGACTTTTACTTTAAAAAAAATTTTTTTAACAGAGGTTTTTGCTTTAGGTCACTTGTGCTTGTCTGAGAGAGAGAGAGACAGAGACAGTGAAAGGGAAAGTGAGAAATCACCCCTCAGGAGGGATGGCCACGCAACAGTCCCTTCTCCCTCATTCTCCTTCCGGGATCTTGGACACGCATGCACACATGCCCAGTGTGAGTTTCAAGTCACTGGGTCTGTGACTCAAATTGCCGTCAGCCCTGTGGGAGTCTAGTGACTTACCCACTATACCATCTGCTGGTCTTCTCTCCATCAACATGAATTTCAAAGCCACCAGGTCTGGGACTCGAACTGCACCGACAGCCATGTGCTATCCAATGCTTTAACTCCGTGCCGCCTACTGGACAATTTTCTTAACTTTGCCATTTCTGCCTCTTCAAATTCTACACATCTTTTAGAGCTTAGATGTGCTACTTTCTTAAAATTTGTTTTCGTTATCTATCGTTATGTGTTCCCCATAAGAGGAATGTGTGTGGGACAACAGGTGGTGTGGTAGTTAAGGGCACTGAACTCCCACTTGGTCAACCACGGTTTGAGTTCCGGACCTGGTGGCTTGCTTTCTCATCCACCCCCCACTCTGTCCCTCTTGGTCAAATTAAAGTAAGGAAAGGAAGAGGGAGGGAGGGAGAGAGGAAGAGAGAGAAAGAGAAAGAATTCTTTAAAAAAAAATGTATGATCTGTTTAGCCTTTGAAAAATTGTCACTTTTCTTTGTGCCTTTTTTGTGATATGACTGTATACTTTGCCTTAGGATTATTTTCATAAGTAGAGATATGATAACTGTGTCTGGCATAGGCTATTATGGTTCAGATCTAATAGAGTCAGGTAACATTTAGTACATACCATGTGTTTTTCACTTAATTATAACAACTCTTCGAAATAATTCATTTTTATTTTTAGAGGTTTTGTTTGTTTATTTTGTTGCTGTAGAGCACGTGCATTCACTGGAGACAGAGAGAGAGAGACAGAAAGTGAGAAATCACCTCCCAGGGTGAGGGCCACACTGCAGTTTTTTCTTTTCCATTCTCCTCTGGGGATTTTTGGGCACACACGCATATGTACCTAGTATGTTTCAAGCCTCCAGGTTTGGGACTCAAACCACAGTAGACTGCAGTGCCTTAATCACCATGCTACCTGCTGGCTCCCCTGAAATAATTATTCTAAATCTCATTCATGTGAGGACACTAATGACAAGTAAAGTAACATTATCTTACAATGGCTGTGAGTTTCTTGAGTGCAGGAATTTTAATACTCAGTTTTCCACCATCTAATACCTACCATTTAGTAGCTACTCGATAAGTATAGCAATAACCCTAACGTTTTTCTTCTTTCTGCAGTACCTCGGCCACGTAGAGGTTGATGAATCAAGAGGAATGCACATCTGTGAAGATGCTGTGAAAAGACTGAAAGCTGTATGTATTTGATGGTCGCCAGTGTTGATCTATATGCCATCAATATTTTCTTAAAAGATTGTACTCACTCAATGTCCAGTAAACATAGTGTTTTTCTTAAAACAAAAGATATGCACTTACTAGTAAAAAGTATATCCTGTCATCCATCTAAAGATATAAATGATAAATTCCAACCCTTTCTGTTTAGGCCAGACATTATCCAAAAGGTACTTTTGATTTATAACCCATGTAAAAATAAGTGGTATGAAATGTGATAAAAAGAATAATATTCCAAAACCAGGATGAGGCTGTTAATGTCTTAACCAAACTGCAATAACTGAGTTATAAATTATTGATTTTAAATTTACTATAAGAAACAGGTTTCTTCAAAAAATATAAAAGAAAAAGATAGTTCTGTGATGCCTAGTGACATTTAATTTGGGGGGACTTCTTACGATCTTGACTTTAACTCCACAATTTTCTTTCTTTATCCCTCTGATATAAACAATTTCCACTGCCTTTTGCATCAACCTCAGCACACTTGAAATGAAGAGCCCCTTTCCAGAATCATTTCCTTTGCCTGTCAGACCAGACAACACATCCCAGGCACACCTGCATTTTTAGTAAGGGGAGAAAATGGGTTCGGAGTTCATAAACGTTCAGATTAAAGGTTAATTTCATATTTACAATAGGCTTGAGGAATTTTTTGACAGCCTTCCTTCTCTCCAGTGTACATGACCTTTCCTCACTTTGCTGTGAAAGCTTTAAGCATTACTGTTGCATGCCCTTGCCCCAAACAATATTCAATACGTGTTGCTTTGGGTTTGCTAGTATTGTGGGCTGCCACAAGTTTAACTACTAATGAGTGCTTTTTCCCTCCCTCAATTGGCTTAGTAATCAAAACTTTTCAGCCTCTTCATATATTTTATATTATCTCTATCTATGACTCCTCAACATGAGATACCTAAAATTAAGGAAGCAACCGACTCAGAGAGGTAAATTTTATTTTGGATTAAATCCCCAAATCTGTTGTAGAAGAGAAATAAGGAGAAAAATAACTGATCATAGTAACAAAGAACTAAACAAACAACAGAAAAAATGCAGACACACATCCATATATACGTACATACACTAAGGAATAAAACTTTTAACAGACATAAAAATGGAAAGTCTGTTGAGAATGATGTATATGGTAATATCTTTGACTTGATTGACCCACACTGTAAACCATATTGTACACTATAAAGATGACAGTGATTAAATGTAAATTAGAAATCACACAATAAAAAGTGAAAAAATATATACACACATACACATGAACTTTACCTCAGATTTTGGTCATTTAAAATATTAAAAGATTGAAGCTTTTCCTAGTTTATATATGCTCTTCATCATTTATGTTAAAAGGACTTACGTTCATATATTATAGTATAAGAAACTGTAGTATAAAGATTTATCATGTTACCTGAATATATCCCTGGTTAAATGCTATCTCAGATCATTTAATTTTTCATTTTTGCCAAAACCAGTTTAAAAGGGAAATAAAAATTAATTCCTTTTATAGCAAGATAATTATAAGTTCATCTAGAATAATAAGATGAATTTAAAAATGTTTTTACAAAGTAATGAAATTACTTTCCCTGCTTACAGAATATTGTTACTAAAGACTGAAAGCACAAGGCAAATCAGTGAAAGGCTAAGAGGACCTGAAACAAATAGTTTGTTATTAATATCTTACAACTTTTATATACCTTATAGTTAAAAGATTGCTGTGAAATGAGCCTTTAGAAAGTTTTTTAAAATTATTTATTTACTTAACTTTATTTTTTATTATTATTATTATTATTTAATTTTATATAGGGCACATGCGCTCACCAGATAGAAAGTGAGCAAATAAGTCACCAGGTTTGAGACTTGAACCACAGTCAGCCATGTGGTGATCTAGCACCTTAGCCACCACACTGCCTGCTGGTCCCCAAGAAAGTTTTTTTAATGCAGAGAATGGTGACTAAAGGATGATTTAAGTTTGTCCAGAAAATATTGAGAAATGATATTTAGTTATTTAATAGCAGGTAATCCTCTTAACTGCCTAGTTTTGGGGTTTTTTTTTTTTACCTATTTTAACTAGAAATGTCTTTTATTACATAGGTAATATGTATTTATTATATAATATACAAATGAACAAAAAAGTACATAAATAAAAAGTGCAATCCCAGAAATTGCCACTATTTAACTATCTAGTTTTTTTGTTTTATTTATTTATTTTTAATGCCAGAGGGGACACACACTAGGAGACAGAGAGAAAGCAGCTACCCCTACTCTATTTCCCATCTACCATGCTGCCTAGTCACACCACAATCCTTTTTCTTCTAGTTCTCCATCCCATCAGAATCCTGGGTGCATTCATGCCTGTGCCCACCTAATATGGAGCCACTGGGGTCAGGGGATTCAAACTCTGGGTGGGCCTGTGAGATCCAGCTGTTGATCTGCATAGTGCCTAACCACTGCACCATAGGGCTAGTCCAAGTAGTCTAATTTTAAAACTAAATTTTTATTTAAGTGAATTTTTTTGTTTCATTTTCTCTTTTCAGTTTTTTAAGCCAAGAAGATTATAGGCTATAAGCATGATTATTTGAGACATACAACTGTTTTAAAAATAAACTTTAATGAGTTTTTATATATACCAGGAATAGGAACTAAAATGCCATTTAAAAAATTATAACAGTTTCTGCTATGCAGTAGTCATTCAGAAAATATTTCTGAAATGAATATACAGAAAACAATCCAGTCCTCAATATGTGGTTAAATTAAATCTTACAATAATCATCATAATCATATCTTATGTTTAATGTTTTAAATTCAGAAAACCCTTTCACATTGCTCTAAAGATATCATTTCCCCCATGGTCTTTTATGACTAAAAGGAAGTTTTACATATTATTGACCTTTGCTTTTTGGACATACTTAAACTTTAGAACTGTGAGGCAAAATTGACTATGTTTGGACTTCTCACGAAGAAGTTATTTAAAATTGCTCAGACAAACCCCATATAGGAGACTTGGAGCAAATGCTTTCTATAGTTGTGTAGTGGCAAAAATGTGATATGAAAAAATAAGATTCAATTTTTGGGTAACAGGTAAATTTGCTATTTATTTTGCTCAATGAAACTTCTCTCTCCTACTGCTACACTGTGTATCTTGCAAAAGATTTTGTCTTCAGGATGCTGTTCAGATTATACTAGACCACATATACTTGTGATTTTTAAATTCCTTTCATGTTTTTATTATGCAGAAATTTATGGTTGCCTTTTTTTCCCTCTGACCAAACATTCATCAAATACCCACTGGGGCTCTTTAACCTACTGTGCCAGATACTTACATTGTTCCAAATGCTGTATCTTTGGAGGTTTTTGTTTATTTTGTTTTTCTTTTCTTTTTTTTAAATGAGAAAAAGAAGGACAGAAAGAGAGAAAGGAGAGAGAGAGATTCTCTCAGCAGTGTCTTACCATCTTATAATCCCTTGCCCCAGTCTCCCTATTAGCTAGGACCCCTGGGCCCAGCCTGTTCAGGTTGAGACAAAAACTGTGAACCTCCCATGTGGCCTTAGCCCTGGCACCCATCTACTTGTACCACCTTGACTAGGCCTGTTCATTTTTTTTTTTAATAGATCATAAAGCTTCCTCTTAGAGTTTTAAATAAATGGAAGCAAATGTAGGGATACACAATCCTACAGAGGATTAAAGAGGAAATAAAACATCACTGGAATTTTAATGCCAAGGTTTAAAAATACAAAGAATTCTCTTGCTCAGATATACCAGTTGAGTAGCAAGACACATATCCTAAACCTATCATATGAATGATCTTTGAATTAAAAATTTAACATTTCTCTAGTGCTTTTTAAATTTAAGGGGAATTGAAGAAGAAGATAATTTGCAAGTTTATTGGTGTGTAGGTTGGGTGTGTTTTTCCTCAGAGAAGTCCCTTATGATTTAGAATTACTTCAACTTTAATTGGAAGTCATCGCATCCATAATATTTTCAAATGAAGAAAATAGCTAACCAAAAAAGTATTTTAAAAATGTGTTCCTTAGAGCATAAATTCGTTTTTAAAAGTTTTACTTTCTGTGCATAAAGCTACTTACAGCTATTTTCAACTCATTTACTTTGTGATGTAATTTCACTAATTGGCTACTGTGGGACTTAGATTTATAGGGTAAATGACAGAACTAGCAGTTGCCCATTTTTATTGCTTTTATAGCGTAGTCAGTTGCAGGGTGATGAATATTGTTGGTTAGCTATTGAATTTGAAAAGTGTATCAGAACTTTGGTTACCTTGGTTGATTCTGGTCCAAGATACCCATCATTTTAAAAGGTCATTTCTTCCCATTGTCTCTTAAATGTCTCTCCCTCTCTGTCTTGGTTTTAGACTAGTTTCATTATACTACCAATTCCTAATATGTTGTTTTTTATTCATTATTTGGTATATTTGTTTTAATATATGTTCTTGTTTTAGCAGGTAAAAGAATCATAATTGTTTTTAAAAGAACATTAATATTATTTCCTAATACAATAACTTTTTATGCATTTCTCACGTCACCTTTTTTTTATTAACACCTGGGGATCTTTTATAAGAAGAGGGAAAACTCCATGTTTAACAGAGCTTTTCTAGGAGCTAAATTAAATATTAACGGTTCTCCTTCGTTCACCTTCCTATCCCTCAAGAATGGTGAATCTCAAGTTTGGCTGCGTCCTTGAAAGCTGTTGGTTACTCACAGTCTAACAAAACCAGGGTCACCAAAATTGGCAGCAGAAATAGTCTTAATGTTATTGTGATAACTACTCTGATTACTTCATTGTTTTTCCAGCCTAAGTTCAAACTATTTTGTGGAATATTTAATGCTGTTTGTGACTTTTCAAAATATAGGGACAACTGTCTAGTGTTTGGAAGCATTGAATGAGTTTATAATTTATCCACGAGTCAAATTTTAGTACAGTTGTCTTCTTTTAGATATTTATCCAACATTAATAAACTGATGATTGGGGCCAGCAGGTAGCATGGTGGTTGAGGCGCTAAATTCCCACATGGCTTACTGTGGTTCAAATCCTAGACTTGGTGGCTTGCCTTCTCACTTTTCTTTTTTCTCTTTCTCTCTCTCTTTCTCTCTGGTGAGTTCAAGTGCATTATACCAAATTTTAAAATAATAGTCATAATAAATACAATTAAATAATTCTTTTCAAGAAATTAGTAACTGGTGATTAAAATTTAAAAATAAAACAATAAAGAAACCCTGATGATTATACTACAACCACAACTAGAAAATGTAAAGTTAAGCGAGCTTGCTTGGGTGACTTAAACCAATCTACTTTGTATATGTGTGTCAGATTTTAAACAGTGGCCAATTTTCATAAATAGTGCTTAGAAATTGGTGCTGGAACCAAGTAACTATGTCTTTCTCATCTGGATAGTTTCAGGACTGCATAGTTATAAATGTCCACATATTGTTCTTTATTTTAAAACAACAGTTTTTAAAAAGAAAAACCCTATTCCTTAAATTTCAGTTGTGGCCCACAGACATTGTTTGGTTCTGGGAAACATATTTTCTCAACTACAGGATAAACATTAGCCTCGTGTTCTTTATGGATAATTTATTTTGCATATGGAATAAAATATTATTTCTCCATGTATATTGTGGAATTAATCAGCATACATGTACAAATACTAACCTAAGAAAATGAACATTCGATGGTCAAGCTCCCCTTTTGAAAATTTATTTTTTTATTTATTTATTTTAGTAGAATTATTTGCTTTAATTGTATTTATTATATATTTTTTTTGACTGGGGAGGGAGGAGGGAAAGTGAGAAAGCAAGCTGCCAGGTCCATGACTCAAATCGCAGTTGGCCATGTGAGGCCCAGCACCTTGACCACCATACCACTTGCTGGTCCCTCTAGCTCCCCTTAAGTAGCTAACTGACATTCTAGAGTAAGAAAAAGTGTGACCAGGAACCTTAATGCATACTGCTAATCTAATTTTATGTAATGCATTTTTATATGATTTTCTGGTCATTTAAATGTGAGCTATTTTTCAATTGATGACTTCCACGCAGTTGACCACTGATTTTAAATTGAAAAATATATAGAGACCCCATATTCTATTTATTTCTCACTGTTAAAAAATTTGAAATGCAAGTTTTGGGGCCAGCAGGTAGTGTGGTGGTTAAGGCACTGGACTCCCATATAACCTACCACAGTTAAGAGTCCTGGACCTGGTGACTTGCTTTCTCACTTTCTCTCTCTCTCTTTCTCTCTCTGTCTCTCTGGTAAATTTGAAAAATAAATAATAACAATAAGTTAAATAAATAGTTTTAATTTTAAATTTTCAAATTTCATCAAACCAGCATATTCTAACCTTTTTCTCTGCTGCCAAATTTGGATAATCTCTGTTTTAAAAGTAAATAGAGATTACTAAGCTAACTAATTGCTTTGCATGAATACAGGTTCTGATTTCTTCTTACTTTTTCCATGGATTCTTAGGCCATAGAGTGTGTTTCCCTGCATTTTCATGCACCCTTCCTTTTTCCTTGTCACTCCTGGTATGGATAACTCTAAAACTCTCACTCCTTCCCCTTCTCCCACTTTGTCCTGACCCCAACTTCTGTATGTGCTTATTGGTGTGAAACCCTGGGACATTTAGCCCATACAATAATAGCGCTCGACTTGTCCCCCTGTTCCTCCAGGAAAGGAAGTTCTTCAAAGGCTTCTTTGGAAAAGTAAGTTTGATGCCACATTTGTGCTTGCTTTATAAGGAGTTACACCCCTAGTATAGCACTGACATATTTTTAAAAGGTAGTACAGCTTTGGTTTCCTTATAAAACAGGAAATAATTGGTATATGAAAATTAATGAATTAGAAACCTGCTATGATATTACCGGTGTGTCTGTTGATGTTAAATCTGATAATTCCTAGGAAAGTCAAATAAATGTATCTGTCAAGTAAGCTAAAGAGGATTATTTTCTCAACACTAGGTATTAAGATAAATTTCACTTGATATTACAAAACTTTGTTCATATTACCATTCTAGCTGTATCTTTAACAAGTATATTTTACTTAGTACCCAGTTTTGACAGAGAAATGGGAAGAAATCTTCAATGAAAAATAAGTGTACTCCAGATTTACATTCACTGCTATTACTTCTTTTCAATCTAAGTTAAATTTAAGGTGAAAGTACATAAAGTTATCTTTGGGGATTCTGTTTTAATTTTAACCCAGTTGCTAATCTAAGAAAAGCTGTCTTCATTACTAGTCTAGCAAATAGCAGTCATATATAGAATTCTCTTTACATAGATGCTTTTCAAGTAATGATTGTTTAATGTTCAGATCACCTTAAAGATTAAGAATTAAGAATATATAGGGTGACTGCACACATATAGGTAAATAGATTTCTAACATTTTTTTTGGTCCAAGTTTATCATTGTTTAGTTTTGAATAAGTCCTACAAAGTAATTCAAACAGAGGCAGTATAGAGAAAAATATTGGGGCCAGCCAGCAGCATAGAAGTTAAGGCAGCTAGATCCTTCATGGCCGACTTTGCAATTCAATTTCTGGACCCTGTGGCTTGAAAAACATGTGCATATGTGCTCAAAATCCTTAGAGAAAAAGGCATTGTAGTGTGGTCATCCTCCCTGGGGGGCTGGTGATTTCTCACTTTCTTACTCTGTATGTGTGTGTGTCTGGCAGACACACGTACCCTATAGCAAAACTTTAAAACAGGGCCAGCAGGTGGCATGGTAGTTAAGGCAGTGGATTCCCACATGGTCAACCATGGTTCAGGGCCTGGATCCAATGGTTTGAAAATCACAACAGATAGATAGATAGATAGATAGATAGATAGATAGATAGATAGATAGATAGATAGATGATAGATTTTTAAAACTTTAAATGGGGGAGGGGAATGCTGTCACTAGGTAGCTGAATGTAAAATTAGTAAAAGTTTGTGTGAGTATAAAAATCTTATCACAGTTATTTTCTACTGGGTACTTTTGTTATTTTAGAAATTTATTTTAAAGAGTCATTTTTTTTTTCAATGAAATGTTTTAGCTGTAACTATTTTTTTTCCTAGCCGAGGTCACTAAAGTAAACAAATTTGAAGTACTTTAGATCTAATGATTCAGTCACTGCTGTTGATTTGAAATACAAATAATTTACTCACTTAAGTCACAATGAATTTTTTTAGTAGAAGGGCCAGGTAGTAGCACAGCTAAAAATGTAACTGGTCCTACATAGGAAAAGTCCTGGGCTTGTGTCCTGGAACCCCCCTGAGTACACCACCTGCACATTCATGCCCATCATATAGGACTGGCTAAAACTGTGGACAGTCTGTGGCATAGGGACCCTGTTGGGAGTACTTTCTTTCTCTCTCTCTTCCCCCCCACCCCCGTGTCTCTAACTCATGGAAAAAATAAACTTAACTTTTTTTTAGTAGATAATTGGGTCTGAGCCAAATTAATAGGTTTTTAGGATATAGGATACATGTCTAGAAAGACTTGAGACATTTACAGCATTACATACAGGTGTCATATCTGTTAAGGACATTTGTCATCGTTAAAGAGACTTTCTAATGGAGTATCCTTTCCCAAATAGAATTTCTGGACACAATTCTAAATCACCACAATTATCATGTAATTTTAATTATCTTCTAAGTGAACAGCTTTAAGTATGTCTACTTTAATTAGAGCAGCCATGTCTGTGAAGGCTAGGTTGTAGGAATATTGACTTGGTTTATAGAAAAACAGTATTAAAAGTGGATGTTTTTAGAGGTTATAATGAACAAAGATAGCTCTCACCCCAAAACCCATCCTGAGGTGGCAATATTCATGGCTATATAAATGGGGTCATGGTACACCTACGGTGCAGCTGAACTAGGTCATGCTGTGCTTGTTAGCTCTTTCACTGCATTTTTGCTACATGATGTGTTTATGTGGGATAAGAAAGAAAATCATTAATCATCTCTCTTATTAATCCTTAAATAAGTGAAGTTTAAAAGGTTTACATTTAAAAGGTGCTAGTAAATAACTTTCTAGAAACTCACTTTTATTTACTTAATTATTTTGTTTTCTCTCTCTTTCATGAGAGAGACAGACAAGTACCCTCAGCAGAATCTCATGTCTTCCCCTAGCCTTCTGAGCCAGCCAGGATCACAGGCGTGTGCTTTGCATGTACTGGTTGACCTGGGAATCAAACCTCAGTCTTCTATATGGCTTTCAGCATTACAGAGCATTGAACTACCACTGTGCCTCCTCACAGCCTGGCTCCACTGGGCCTGACTTTCTTTTTAAAAACTAGTAATTTAACTCCAGATTCTATTTATGTTATTTATTTATTTATTTATTTATTTATTTGTTTATTTATTTATTTATTTTTGTCAGAGCTTTAAAAAAAATCATTTTTTCTGGGACCAGCAGATGGCATAATGGTTACCTCACCAGACTCTCACATAGTAGACTGCAGTTCGAATCCCAGACCTGGTGGCATAAAACTCATGCTGGACGTGTGTGTGTGTGTGTGTGTGTGTGTGTGTGTGTGTGTGTGCATGCTCAAAATCACAAGAGGAAAGTGGAGAAGAAGGGATTGCTATGTGGCCATCCCCCCCAGGGGGTGATTTCTTATTTTCTGTCTTCACGAGTGCATGGACCCTATAGCAAAAATCTCTCAAAAAAAGAAAAAAATCTTTTCAGTGGTTTAGACTTATTTATTCAGAGATATTTGAATTCTACAAATGAGTTTGACTTCCACAGGGTTTTCTTAAAAGATGCAAAGTGATGGGGCTAGCAGGTGCCATGGTGGTTGTGGTGCTGGACTCCCACATGACCAATCTCGGTTCAAGTCTCAGACCTGGTGGCTTGCTTTCTCACTTTCCCTTTCTCTCTCTTTTTGTCTCTCTCTGGTCAAATTAAAACAAAAATAAGTAATAACATAAAATTAAATAATTTTTTTTTAAAAAAAGGATGCAAAGTGAGGGAACAGCAGATGGTATTATGGTTACATCACTGGACTCTCACATAGTCGTCCCCAGTTCAAGTCCTAGACCTGGTGGCTTAAACTCATGCCAGGTACTTGTGTGTATGTGGCCAAGATCCCTAGAGGAGACTGGAGGTGAAGGATTTGCGGTGCGGCCAACCCTCTTGGGGGGTGATTTCTCACTTTCTGTCTCTCTCTTCCTCTCTGGCAAGTGCACGTGCCCTATAGCAAAAATCTCTTAAAAAAAAAGATGGAAAGTGATCCCATAATGGCATCTATCTCAATTCTGTTCTTATGTAATGGGTAAAATATATATATGGAGCGGGGGGAGGTGTCCAGCAGATGGTGCAGTGGTTACATTGCTGGACTCACATGTAGTCTACTGTGGTTTGCGTCCCAGACCTGATCACTTGAAACTCATGCCAGGTGCGTATATGCTCAAAATCCTGAGAGGAGAATGGAGCAGAAGCGATTGTGATTGCGGCATGACCATACCCCCTAGGGAGTGATTTCTCACTTTCTGCCTCTCTGGAGTGTACACACGCCCTATAGCAAAAATCTCTCTTTAAAAAAAATAAAATAAAATAATAAATATATATATTACAGTGGAGCAATTTTATTCTAATACATAATTTTTAAATTATAATAACTCATTCAAAGAGTTTGGAAAATGGGTGGAGGTGAGACCTACAGTCTCACCGTAAGCACATTTCATTTAAAAATGAAAGACTTCAGTTTAGAGACTTGAATCTTTTAAGTAAACATCATTAAATTTGCCTCTACACTAATCTATAGGAAAGAAAAAGGCTGGTGAAAGAGACTTGATTTGTTGAGTTAAGTTGATTGTGGTTTGATGAAAGCAAAATGATGAATCTCATAGAACAGTGGGTAATAGAGAATTTCTATCTGATAGTCCCTCATAAGATTTTTTTTTTAAGAATTATTTAACTTTATTTATTTTATTTATTTATTTTAATTTTACCAGAGAGGAACAGAGTAAGAGAGATAGAAAGTGAGAAAGCAAGCCTACAGGTCTGGGATTCAAGCTGTGGTCAGCCATGTGGGAGTCCAGTGCCCTTAAGCACCACACCACCTGCTGCCCGCCCCCATAAATTTTTATACTTTCTTCTTTTAAAATTTTGCCAGAGGGTTCATATGCTCACCAGAGACAGAAGAAGCACCTCCCCCTTGGAAATGGTTATGCCACAATCCCCTTCTCCTCCATCTCTCCTTCCTTTTAGGATTTTGGGCACACCCATGCCTGCACCTGGTGTGTTTCTCAAGCTGCCTGGTCCTGGACACAAACCGCATAGTTAGCCATGTGGGATTCAGCCGTCTTAACCACCGTGGCACAGGCTGGTCCACATTTTTGTACTCTCTTAGTCTTTGAACCATGTATGGTGTAGTGGTCCAGATAAATAGAACAGTAGTAATCAGGATGTGTTTCCATGAAATACTTTTGCATGAAAATAGGTAGAGGGAAACATTGTTAGCCCTGATTCTGAATTTATCATGCCAAGAGGACTGCTTCCTCTTTTCCTTAAGTCGCTTTTAGGACCTGACCACCATCACTTCTCTATTCTGTGCAGCACAGTTGATGAAGCGGTGCCTTCAGAAACCTTAGCAACAGGGAGCAGATAAACCTGGATCTCTTACAGAACTGTAATACTAATCTGTTGTAGGCTTACAAACATCTTAAAAGAGAAGGAGGAAAAGGACCTGAAATGACTTTTTCCCATACTAGTTACATGAA